AGAGGATTGAGGGGTATTATGTTATGTTTAGTACACATGGTGTGGGGGATCATGGGGAGAACAGTGCAGCACAGAGAAGGCACATAGTGGATCTGTGGCATCTTGCTGCACTGATAGACAGTGACTGCATTGGGGTATGGGTGGTGACTCGATAATAAGGGTAAATGTAGTAACCACATTGTTTTTTCATGTGAAACGTTCATAAGAGTGTATATCAATAATGCCTTAATAAAAAATTTTTTAAGTGATTATTGATACAACATGATTAATATTCACCATATTTTTACTGTTTTCTATTCATTGCACTTGTTCTTTGTTTCTACTTTTGTATTCCATTCTTTTTCTGCCTTTTGTACTGAGCATTTGTGATTCCATTTTCTTTTCTTTCTTAGCATATTATTTATACCTTTTTTCTTTTTTACCTTTATTAGTAGATGTACTACAGTTTTCAATGTACATCTACAATTATTCCAAGTCCACTTTCAAATAACACTATACCATTTCATGGGTAGTACAAGTACTTATAACAACAAAATTATCCTAATTCTTCTCTCTGGACCCTTGCTGCATTGCTGTCATTCACTTCTGCAATACGTAAATATATATTAAGTATACATAATTTAATACATTTTGCTATTATTATTTTGAACAGTTATCAATTAAGAACAAGAAAAATAAAAGTTTTCATATTACATTTTCTCTAACACTCTTCCTTTCTTCATGTAGGTCTAAGTTTCTGACCTCTATCATTTTATCTCTAAAGAGGCTCTTTTTTCTTGCAAGACAGGTCTGCTGGCAATACATTTTCTCCATTTCTGTTTTTCTCCTTCACTGTTTGGGATAATTTCACAGGATATAAAATTCTAGGCTGGTAGGTATTTTTCTCTCAAACACTGAATATTTCACTCCATTCTATTCTTGTTTGCATAGTTTATGAAGAGAAGTCAGATGAAATTTTTATCTTTGTTACTCTAGGAAAGGTGTTTTTGACTCTTGGATTTTTCTCTCTGCTTACATTACTCATCCATTCTTGAATGTTCTCTACTTTATCCATTAAAGTGTTAGAATTATAATCATAGTTTTAAAAAAAATTCCTGGTTTGAAAATTCCAGTATCTCTGATGTATCTGAATATAGTTCAATGCTTTATCTCTTCAAACTGTGCTTTTTGCTTTTTGTTTTTTTAGTCTACCTTATAATTTTTTTCTTGACAGCTACACATGATGAACAGGGTGCAAGTAACTACAGTAAATTGGCCTTTAGTAAAGTGGTGGTAAGGTGTAGGGGGAGGGGAAGTGTTCTGTAGTCCTATGATTAGGTCTGTCTTTAAGTCTTTTGTCCCTCAGCTGTGAACTCACACATGCTTCTCATTTCCACCCCTTAGAGGGACAGGATGGCTAGAGCCAGCTAGAGTTGTTTATTTCCCCTCTCCCAGTTTGGTTAGGTTCTGATAAACCCTCAGTAGCTTAATTTAGGCACTGGTTAATAGCTTCTTTTGAGGTTAGATCTTGCTGAGAATAGAATGCCTAAAGAACAGAACACTCTTACATAGTTCAAAATGGTTCCTTTTCCCTTCCCCCTGATGGAAGCACTAGAGAATTCTTCTCCAGTCTTCACCGTGAGAACCTGACAGAACTCCAGGAGGTAAAACTCACAATAATGTGGAGACCCTCTGAGATTGGGTCCCCCTGGAGTTTTAACTCTCAAACTTGTCCACACTAAGCCTCCAGCAACTTGTCAATTACAGTTCAGGTTTCCCTACTCCAATAGTGGTTCCTACAGAGGTTTCTGCTCCATTAAGTTGTGATTCTCTGTGTTTGCCTGTCTGTTTCCCTAATTCTGGGGGCAGCAATTTACCCCATGATTTCACTTCTCTGACAAATCAAAGAAAGGTTGATTTTTCAGTTTTCCCAGCTTTTTACTTGTCAGGCCACAGTGACAACTTCTAAGTTCTTTACATGCCACACTGGGAAGCAGAAGTCTGTGTTCACTTTCTAATAATTAAGTGAGCTGTATATATTTAAAATTTGTGCACTTTAAAATTATGCATGTTTATATAGGTATATTATACTTTAATAAAGGTTTTTAAAAGTCTATGTACATGTAACTTGCCCCATAGGAAGAGTCAGTTTACTACTATCACTTTAATCATAATCCTAAAAGTAACTTTGCTACAGTCATCAACAGATTTTAAAAAGGTAACTTGGAAAAATAATCAGAGGCATGTTCCTTCTGGATGCTTACAGCTGCAAACACTGCCAGGACTTAAAAGGAAAGGACACTTGATACTGGCAGATTGGAAAAGCTCCACAGAACAAAGTTAAAGAGCTCTGAGTCAAAGCTTGGCCATTTTTCTACCAGACAGATTTAAAAGGTAATGGTATTCCCATTTCCCCCCCAAATTCTGATGCAAATCTTTTCAGTTAGAAGTCTTCTGTTAGCTTCAAGTAGATCTCAGTGTGGGTCCAGGTTAATTTCAAAAAGCCGAGGTACTGCTTGAGGGCAGGAACTACTTACTCTACCACTTTTGTCTCACAGATTTAGGGAAATGAAAGGCAAGCTTCCAGAATAGTCTACATAATATTTCATAAAGCAAACAGATATGATATAAAATCAAATGCTCTGTGTATACATATGTGCTTTTTGGAAAGGAAATAAATGGAGGCGGGAGTAAAAGGACTGATAAGTGCCATAATCATTAAGCAACTAAGTAGGAATATGTTTGGTAGGGTCACTGGACTAAAAAGAATTAGGCTAATAGGTTAACTAAGCAATTCATGCTACTGTCTGTAATCAAGACTGTCCTTTAATCATCTCTATCAAAGAGGCAACAGACTGCCTACTCACTATGAAAGGAAATTCCCCCAACCTCCCTCATTAATTCACTTTTTGATTTAATAATTCTCAGTATTGAATTGCATCCTCATAGCAGAGTTCAAGACAAATTCCTGTTGAAACAGACCAAAAATACAAGTGAAGAATACTTGACCTTCATATACTGAGCTTGAAACAACTCTTGTTCTCCTATCTTAATACAGAAAGGGCTTCCTGAGTTCTGTGTGAGAACAAAAACAAACAACAAAAAACACAGATGCTCTACTATTTATACAGGCTGAACTTGATTTCCTGATTTCCAAGAAAACACAAGGGATATTCTATGACAGTTGTAGTTTCAACTAAATATCTACAACTTAAGGGACCACTGGAATGGTAAGCTAGGACTAATATTTTTAAATATCCCCTCCCAACAGGCAGATTTTGAGAAGTATAATTAAAGATCCCTTAATATAAGAGCATCATATTTCAGTATCTTTGGTTCTTTGACTTATTATAACTGATCAGAAAAATTGCTTGAAGATCCCTAGATACACCAGATGTCAAGGCAATTCATGTTTTAATCAGAGTACAGAGTAAGCTTATTAAATTTAACTTAGCAGCTCAACATGCTTACAACTCCAGTCCTTAGTAAATCCCTTCCTGATAGTGTATAACATTTGGACATAAGAAGAGAGAGCAATAAAGAAAAAGAAAAATTAAGTAAAACCTAATATAAAAGCAAATAATCAATTTGCCCTTAGATGAATAAATGTCCAAGAACTTGTGCAGTTTCTTCCTGTATTATAGTACTTATTACACCATACTGACAAGCATGTTTTTACAGTTTTTTCTCCTATGAGTTTCTTGAGGGCAGGGATACATTTCTATATTCCCAGCACCTAATAGAGTGCTCAGAGCATAGATGATATACAACAAGTGGCTCTGTGCTAAGTGTACCCTGTAATCCTCATAATAACTATATAAAGAAGGTAATCTATTGCTATTCTAATTATACAGATAACAAACCAGAAATCATTAAAATTAAAGAATGTGCCCAAAGTCACAGAGCAGTCTAATGTAAATATATGCCCTTAATTACTGTACTGTACTATCTGAATAAATGAATGCCTGTTTTGTCCAGCTTGTTTCAGTTTTATTAACTAACTTTACCTATCCACTCACTCAGATATCTTCTGCACTTGTGCCTCAAGTATCAGGATGACTATATGAGTTCAACAATCACCAGAGGAGCATAACATTTGGGGGTCAGGCAGAAATTTTGGCGACCTAGGTTTCTTTCTGGATTTCATACTTTCAAAGTCTGATTACTGTTAATATTAAATTAGTCATTTCTAAATAGAAGTATATTGAATTTTTAAATGTAAATAATTATACTATAATCTTGAGGTAAGCTGGATAATTTATAATACGGCAAGAGTAGGAACATGAAAATTCTTTTTAATATAAAACTTAAAAAGGGCTATGAATTTAAACTAGCAAGCATATTACAGATAAGGGATCAGTAAGTGGTTTATATTAGTTTAACAAAATATTTAATGCAGAGATTTATATTATGACATTATGCCAGTATCTTGTCTGTATGACCTCAAATGAATAAGTTTATAAAACAAATTTATGAAATTATTTATCATCCATTCTGCTTAAAACAACCATTAATTAATCTTTCAGTATTTCCTATGGCAATATACAAACAGAAATCTTTCCATTCAGAAAAAAATAGGTAGGACTTCAAGAACATGTAATAAGGTAGTACTTACTGTTCTTCAGATTAGAATCAATAAAGGATATAAGGCAAACCTTACACTTATCTAATTCATCTTAATGTTTGATTTCCAAACACAAAGACATACATACATATTTCATATACAATTAATTACTGAACTGTGAGACATTAATAGAAATTGTAAGATCGATTCAGCACTATTGTAAGTGTTCAAAACATGAACAAAATGTAACACAGCTGTAGAAAACATACTGTTCTCCATTTTAATGTTTAAAATGCCAAAAAGGAACTGACTTTTTACCTGCTCACTGTTGACAATGATTACCTCTAATTTTCAACTGTGAGGAATACAATGAATCATGTATATAAAACTGCCTGAATTTTTAAAAGCTTACTTATAGCTTTATTGAATTAAATCTTTTGGTCAGATTTTTACATACCTTAAAAGTAGAAAGTCCATAAAGTCTTGTGGTATGAATAGTTTCTTGAGAAATATTGGTAATGTTAGTTATAAAATCCTCAAGGTATTTACAAGCTTGCTCCAAGTGTGTTGTATTTATGATGATTTGCACTAGCTAGAAAATACAAAATATATCTGGTTAAATGCAGCTTACATGAATATAAAGCCATTTGATTTTTAAAGATAGGATTATTACTTTCAGCAACTGTACTGTTTCTGCATAATTTTCACATTGTAGAATACAACTGATTACCTGATTTCAAAGCCTGCTGCAAATTGCTTATGAATATTATCATTTAAAAACAAACAAGAGTCTAACTACTAATTAATTTAAAATAACTTTCCGAAGTACTTTTTAAAATTTTATTTATTCCCCAAATTAAAAAAAAATAAGTATTCTCACTTTTCATGTCAAATCTGGCCGTCATAAATCTACACATGTTCTAACATCTTCAACATCTACTGTTCTCCATGTAAATCCTTTTCACAAACATTGCTTGAATTATACTGATGCTTTTTTTAAAACAAATCCACTACTACTAACAAATTAAAAATAGAAATCTAGTTTTATAAGATGATTTTCAGCAATAACTTAATTTATAATAATTGTTTCCTATAATGGAACAGTTAACCTACCTCTGTCAAACCTATATGAGGTTTCCTAATAAGGTTCAGTAAACAGCTACTCAAAGTTCTGGTCAGCAGAAGATTTGTAGATTTTCTAAGCATATCATCTATTTCTGTTGAGCTGAAAATGAAGGTATTATTGATATTATTAGTAACAGTCACTTTCTCCTAAATAAACACAATTTACTTAAATAATTTGCTTCACCTCATCCCTCTATGTATCTTTAAATAAATCACAATCACCCATATTTATTAAATCAAATTCCAATTTAACTTGATTTCACAAAAGGGACATTTTCAATAAAACAGGGTTTATTTATGGTGTAATTTAAATGTATTCAATTAGCTATTACAGTAAAACCATGATGTAGTATAAAGAAATAAAACTACTCTTAAATTATGCCTCCACTACTTACAAAAACACTTCATATAAAACTATAGCTAAAGTTAATTTTAAAATGCAAGTTGATGTCAGCTCTTTTTATATATAATTAATTACTAGATTTAATTTTAATATAGCTAAGCTATACATCTCCACAGAGATTTTTTAAAGAGATTCAATGAAATAAATTTAATTACCTTAGATTCATTTTCATTTGGTGCAAAGAAAGGAAATGCCAACGATGTTTCTTAACAACCTTACAATTGCTAGGCTAGTTTTCTCCTAATCAAAAAGCCTTCAATATAAGTAAATAATGATTTCTTGTATACATCTTTACTATCAAAACAGTTAAGCTGTCCTTAGATGAAGTTTTCTAGTCTCAGGACCACTGACATTTTAGGCTAGGTAATTCTTTGTTGTGGGGGCCTGTCCTGTGCACTGAAGGATGTTCAGCAGCCTCCCCGGGCTCTGTGCCCAACAGATGCAAGTAGTACCCCTCCCTCTAGTTGTGACAGCCCAAAATGTCTCTAAACTTTGCCAAATGTACTCTGGGGGCCAAAATAACCCCAACTGAGAACAAGTGCCTTAATTAAGCATAGGCTAAAGTTTTAGCACACTTTTACTTTCTATATTATTAAAATACTACTCTTAAAAATCTATGAAGCACAAATATTTACTAGAGTATTCAACTTAAAAATGTAAATAAAGCAAGATTTGAGAAAACATAGGTACTTGTCACTATTACTCTAATGTTCTCCATGATAACGCAGGCACTCTTTTCAATTTCTGCTAACTCTAATTCTGGCAGACCTGAGGAGAATATTTCTCACTCATTTTTTATATCTAAATTCAAGACTTCCCATGGAACATGCATACCACCAATAGGGTTTCAGAGTTGTCTGGCATCAAATTCTCAGAAACCTCTGATCTATCAACAGTGTCCCTAGAACAAGCAACATACTCACCCTGATAAAAACAAGGTGGTTGCCAGCTCCTCTGGTTTCTTTTCTGACACACTCAATTTACGCTTAAAGACACCCTGTATAACATCCTTCTCAGATGAAAGTTATCCACGATAATGTCTTTTGTTTAATTTCCCTGAACTTCCCTGAATGCTGAGTCAATGCATACTTTTTCTTCCATAAGTAAAAGCAAAGAAAACCTATGAGAACCTATGTTATGTTGTGCCAGCAAGATTTACCTGACAATACCAGTATTTCCCCATAAAGTTTTTATCTTAATTGGGCAATTTTTAAAAACTCTTTATCCTTTGTGCCTTTAACTTGTACTCTTGCTAATTTTTAAAGAACATTTCACAGCAATTAAATAGTAATACACAATAAGTCTCTAAAATATTTTACAGCTTAACCTCTTACGCAAACCGAAAATTCTTATAAGATCATATTAGGTACAGATGGTTCCTGACAGCAACCAAATAATTAAGATTTTGGAGACTTCATGGAGTGATTAATTCTCTGGCCCTACTTTTATTCATATATATGAAGAAAACCAAACTTTCGTACTGTAAAAACTTTGAAACATCTTCTGAAACTTCTAAAAACTTAACTCCAAAATATGTTTTAACATGAAGGAAGAGCTTTAAACACAGGAAGTGATTTCTTCTTTGACTCTTTAGTAACAACAACAACAAAAAGCTACTTTAGTAGCTCAATTCAAGTACAGATGTAAATTCAAAATAAAAATATATGTTAGAAAGCTGGTAATTCAGAATAAATTTAGAGTGACATATTTTTAAATTAAACAATGCTGTCTCTCTGTATTCTGAACTGTTTATTATTCTCATTAACAAAATGAAAATGGTCAGTGTATTTGGTAAAGCATAATCTTAAATTGTAAGCATAAAAGCCTTGTTGGATGAATAACTTATCATAGACAGTTACCCAGAACTGGATACTAAACTAATAAAAGGGAAACACCTTTTTATCAAATACAGAAGGAAAAAATTGACAATTTTTTGTGTTATAGCAGTAGTACACAACATTTACTTTTTAGAATGCTAAGAGATCATATACAAAAAAACTCAGACTGAGGTGGCAATTCTAGTTCTAGTCAGCCACTCAGGAGGATTTAGGGGAAATTATATAAACATATATGATATTACAAATAATGGGCCTTTACCTATGGTGTGATAAATGCAGTAAAGAAAACAAGTAGGAATTAGAGAGTCACTGTCTCTCTTCTGTAAATAAAACAAAATAAAAGGTAATTCCAAAGTGCTAAAGTTTAACAATATCTCAACTGTACTTTTTGATAACCAACATTTAGATTGAATACTAAAAAGTACTTATTAGGACAAGCAAATTATAAATACTTCCAATTTAGAAAATGTTAAAGTAATCTATACATTTAAAGGAAAAGATGAGGGGAACCAATGTGATATATTAAAGATTGCAGCTTCAAGAATAATTCTCAAACACAACATTTGAGCCAAGTTGTTGGATGGCTGTTAAAAGAGAGACTTCTTGTTTCTCCCTTTCACTTGCATATGTTAACCTCAAAATAACAGGTGAATGCATGTATCATTGTTTAAAAAGATAACTAGTTAAAACAAGAATCTATTGAAAGCATATAAACAAATTTAAGTCCACCTGATATAAGTCAAATTGTTCTCTATCCCTTAACTTCTTTATCTAATTATTCATGAGAACCTAATTTCAGGCTCTTAAATGCTTCTTGTATATGTTCCTTCCTCTTTGTTACCACTGATCTTGACTATTTCAGTCTTTCTTTATCTCTTTCTTGAGATAACTTCACTAACTCAACATGACTATTTTTTTTACCCTCTCCTTCGATCTCTTATTCACAGTGGGGCCAAAGTAAACTTTCTAAAATATAACTCTTGTCATGTCATTCCTTAGTTAAAAATTCTTCATAAAGGAACACAAAAGTTCTGAAACATAATATAAGTTGGTCATGGGGATAGTAGTACAGTGTGGAAAACACAGCCAATGATTCTATAACATCTTCCTATACTGACAGATAGTAACTGCACTAGTGGGTGTGAGGATTAAATAATGTGGGTAGCTGTTGAACCATTATATTGTATATTTAAAACTAATATAAGATTGTATATCAATGGTATTTCCATAAAAAAATTTTTTTTAACATTCTTCAACAATTCCCCCTGCTTACAAATTAAAATGGAAACACTCCAAACCCCACTGGTCTCATATCTAATATTGAAGTTCCCCATCCTCATAGGTTCTATGTGCCAACCATATGCCAAGCACCATACTGAGTGCTCTGTACACAAGCATTGCCTCATTTAATTCTCACAATCACCCAATGAGTTATTTGGCTGATTTTACCCATGAGGAAACCACGACTTAAACAGATTAAGTTGTTTGCCCAGTGCCCTACTACAGCTAGTGTTATCATCAAGACTCAAACAAAAATCTGTTTGAAGCTTTGTTCTTAACCACTGCATTAACCTGCATCTATATTCAGAACTTGAATGTTTAATGAAAAACAAGATAGGCATAAATTATCGGTGGCTCTCAGACCGTTAGAGCACCACCATTGAAAACTACCAGTGCACACAGAGGATTAAAGATGGCGGCGTGAGAGGTGAGACAGAGCCTTCCTCCTAAAACTGCATATAATACAAAAGTATAATTAATACGACTAATCCTGAAAGAGCAACAGGAAAGAGGACTGTGCCAAACTGGATACACCTGGAGTAAAGAATAAACCTCACAGAACAGGGTAATGTACCAAAGCCAAGGCCCAGTTGGAACTAAGCCCTTCCCCAACCCCAGCTCACCGGAGGGATGAAGAGAAATGGAGCGGGGAGGGAATGGAGGCCTAGGACAGCTGAATACCTGACTCTGGAGATCTGCTCTGGGAGCACAAACCTACATTTCATGGTACTCTAATGATAAGGGGGTTGGAAAGCTATAACAGGGAGAATACCTGAAGAGACTGAGATTCCAGCCACTTGTGGAAAGTAGGGATGCATATCTGGCTGCTCTGGGACAAAAGAAAGGCGGGCAGTCTGAGAGACTTCCTAACAGCAAGAGGGCTGCTAAAGGGGCAAGGATTGCATAGAGCTTACTGCTCAGGAGAAAGGACAGGTAGAAAAATTGTCCAGGCGCACTCTGCCCAGCAGGTTGGGAACTTTCTTGATCTTAAGTGCTCCAGCTCCCTGGCTGGCTACACAGCTCCAAGGACCACCTCTGTGATACACAGTCAACTGTACCTTTCTCCCGGCTAGCTCCACCTGGCTCGCAAACCAGGAAACCCTATCCTGGCATTAGGCCAGCCAGAGGGAAGATCCGTCTACAGCAACTACAAATGCAAAGCATAGGGCTTATACTTCTGTGCTCGGCCCACTGGTTCAGGCAGTGGAGGCAGGCATAGCAGCCGGGAAGTAGGAAACAGCTCTTTCCTACCCCCAGGACCACTACCGCTCCCCTGTGACTCCCGACATTGCTTCAGTGGCTATGTCGCTCCAGAGAGTAGAGCTTCTGGGCACTACAGGGCCAAATATACAAAAATGAAATGCGAAAGAAACCTGGTTCAACGTAAAATTATGACTACAACACCTGAAAAAGATTCAAATGAAATCAACCTCATGAAACTCCCTGAATGAGATTTCAAAAAAAAAATCATTAACATGCTCATGGAGGTACAGAAAAATATTCAAGAACTAAGGAATGATTTCTGGTCAGAGATCCAATTGTTGAAGAGCACAATGGAGGGTATTAAAAGCAGAACAG